AAGCCACACAAACTTCATTTTATAAAAATCTCGAATACTATTTGTATGATGACTTATCATAGCAATAAATCCCATCCAGATGCCACTAGATATTCCCTATTATTAACAATAGTTAAGTAGTAAAAAGTTAAGTAGTACATATTCAAGGTATACAATTATAAATTTGTGAAGTCAAAAAAATAATAATGTAATCTACAGGTGGAATGAAATTGTAACAGAGTGAACACAAATATTTTTTAATGTTATTAATTAAATCTCAGATATGAGGCTGGGAGAGCTATATACCTGGGTGCATAGTGCTCCTGCATTAAGCTTCTGGGAGAAGTAGGTTTGTCCATGTTTGAACGTTGAACCAGGTAACCTCCTCTGAGGTGGTGATGATTTACACTGACTTCGTTCTACTCTAAAACTACAGCCACTAAACCATGCAGTATCCCAGGCTACGCCTACATGATGACTGTAAACATTCAGTAGTGTACCCTTACGTGTGTCTTCATCCTGTTTCATGTCTACTGTTATGACATGGAGTCTCAAGTGTAGGGGGCATGTCAAAACCAACTTTACTTTATTAGCTCATATTAGCTTATTTGTAAAAGCAAGGTTAAATTAACTTTCAGCATCACATATCCATAAGAGGAAATTAACAATTAATTATATTCAAATAATTGCTAACTATATCAAGTCAATAATAGAGAAGTTTTTCCAAAATGGTATGGGATACTTTTGAGATGATCCCTCGTCCGACAAGCAAATCACAGCTGTTAATGGGACACCTTCCATGTATCACTTGTTTCTTACACATCTTACACACATGGCCTCCACATGGCCTCAACATAGCCTCAACATAGCCTCTAGCCGTGTCCATGCCCGGTTGACCTGCTCAAACCCTCCTCACTACACAAGAGTTACAGCTAAAGTTCACTTGACACAGGTACGACATGAATGTCAAGTTTTTAACTTCTATTTATATCGTCACAATCAGGCCGTAAAGTTCTCCCTTCTTAAAATTCAGTACAAACAGGGTTCGAAATACCCCATATATTAGTGTGCCATGGCACGGTAAATACAGAAATGGCACGGCTAAAAAATGTTCTCAGTGCCCTTTTGACACGCCTAATTTTTTAAGAGACATAACTCACATTTAGTCATTTAATCCCCAAAACAATTTTTTTTCCAAATTGAATAATACCATATATATCTGAATGCTCATAAACCCATTTCTTTATTTAACAATAAATTTCAAATGATCATCATCATTGTCATTTATTCTAAAAACATGTGGGCATACTCGATTTCAGAAAGGCACACCTAAAATATTTGTCTGGTGCCCTAAGGCACACTTAGAAAAAAAAGTATTTCTATCCTTGACAAATGTGTGTACCTACATGTCCTATATATAGCACTAAAGACAAGTTCATGACCACTTGATTTGTTCATATTAGTGTAGATAATCTCTCATGCCAGCTGATTTCAGCAACCAATTCTAACCTGGATCTTTATGGGTAATTTCTTAACTTTGGCTGGTACTACAATCATTCTAGATATGAGTTGTATTCCTTTCTTGGGTCTAGGAGACAGACTAATGTTACACTAAACTGACTGAATTCAGGGAGTTGTGTGAAGTTTTCAAGAAACTACAATAGCCTCAGGAAGAACACAGATGTCTTACCCTTAAAATAATTGGTTTGGTGAAACAGTTATAAAACTTGTTTTTATATTCATGTAAATTTTGACAGTAGCAATCATATGTAGTATGCATTTTGTAACACTTAACTTAATTTTGTAAGAGTTAACTTACCAACATTGTATTTTGCTATTTTTTTATTCCAATATTTATACCTGTATTATGTTGGCTAGGAATTTCATTCACATCAGTTGAATCTAGTGGGTCATCATTGAACCATTCTAATTGGAGATTGAATTCATCTCCAAACACCCCTAGAGGTTACCAAGATGAAAATCGTGGATGTGACAACATGTTTGTTTACAAACAATAGGGTCAGTGACTGTTATGTGTTCATATGCAGAAACAGCAATCTGTGTAATTTGAACTCCTTTGATTTAGGTTTTAACATTGATTGTGGTCAGTAATAAGCCCATAATTGAATATCATAACAATTTGTGCTGTACAATCCTTATAAAAAGTCTGTACTTTTCCTTCAGAGATGCCGTTTATGGCGTCACAGACATGGAACAGAATCACTTGTCCTTGTATTATGGGTTTACACATAAGAAACATTTGTTATTGTTTGGCTGATCACGTGAACAACTGTAAAACATTTCACTAACTTATAAAAGATAAGTTTACCTTACCACACAAGTCATCCAGTAGTTACAATGTGTGATCCAATATACCTCATCATACCCGAGTAGACTCCCAAAACATTTTGGTTTTGCATTAAACATGTTAAAACATCACGCCAAGGGCACCTGTTGCCGACTGGTCGATGGTTGATGGAATACACCTAAAGATGGTTATGAGTGCATGTGAAAAAAGAGGTAGTTAGGGGTTTGGGCATAAGATTAGGGTACTGCTTTGAATTAGAATGCTCTCGGTCCAGGGGCCCTGGTTAGACAATAAACTTCAGTTAGCCTTTTCATTCAAAGTTCATTTTCAACAATAGAAGAGAGTTGCTAATTAATCATCCATAGTTTTATTATTAGTGATAGGTTAGTTCAGTTTCTTGTTTAGCTCAAAAGGAAGTGTTTAAAAATTAGTTGATTAGTTTGCGGTTAAATACAGACAAACTCTACACATGTTTGTGAGTGAGTGAGTTTAGTTTTACGCCGCTTTTAGCAATATTCCAGCAATATCACGGTGGGGGACACCAGAAATGGGCTTCACACATTGAGGGGAATCGAACCCGGGTCTTCAGCGTGATGAGAGAAAGTTTTAACCATAAGGCGGACCCACAGCCCCTGCACATGTTCCACTACACGACAAACACAATCTGAGAATAACTTGTGACTCCAGCTGAATTCCACAGCAACAGTTGGCAATTACTATGGCTGCAACTTCATTTTAGCAACTCGTAAAAAATACGGCCAGGGTATCAGTTACTTTTCAACCAGCTGTATCCACTATAGGTTATTAATTCTATTCCAATATCACAGACCATTGATGGCTTTGTCCCAGGACATTTGATCATTTTTGTCTAATAATACTCTGTTGTTTAATGCCACACTCAGCAATATTCCAGTTTTTACAGCAGTCTCTAAATAATCAGGTATGGGCCAGTTAATCCAGTGATCAACATCATGAGCATCAATCTACAAATTGGTAACAATACACTGAAAATACTCATATATATATTTGAATTTGATTTGACACAGAACCACAGTTGTTGCTCATGCTAAAAGTTTACCTAAAGTGAGACGTAAGTGATTGTTAAATCAGTTCCCATGTGTTTCTTATTGTTGTTTATAACACAGCACACAGCAATATTCTTTCTATTTCATCACATCTGGACCAGGCAATCCACTGATTCACATTGTCAGCAGTGATCCATTATGTCAGGATACGAGTGAATGAGTGAGTGAGTTTTACGCCCACTTAGCAATATTCCAGCTATATAAGGGCAGTCTGTCAATAATCGAACCTGGACCAGACAATTCAGTGATCAGCATCATCGACCTACGCAATTGGGATACGATGACTTGTGTCAACCAAGTCGGTGAGCCTGAACACCCAATACCATTAGTCGTCTCTTATGACAAGCATGGGTTACTGATGATCAATTCTAAACCCATTTATTTCCATGGTTAAGTCACCTCTTAAACCAACATAGACTAGGGGGACCTATTGCATAGATTCTCTCTTAATTTTCTCGCCCCTCATGAAAAGCAATGGTGTGCTGGATCCACACTAAATCCATGTTCCCCAAGAGCACTGCCAGTCATACACAAGAAATCAAACTGGCACTGTCAACAATCCAACCGATAACAATAAATATTAAACTTAACATCAAACAAAACGATTTACCGTTGAAGATCTTCACTGAAATGAAATTTGGCAGCCATTTCTTCTCACATGACAATGGACATGTAAACACGTACAGCGGGTCAGATATTCAGATATATGAAGACCTTTAATTTCAATTTCTGAATTCGTAATATTTGCAGGTCACTTGTGACCAATCATCAGCCACGGAGCAGTGCTAGAGGGACACCTATATTCAATATGGAGAACTACAATTTTGATACCCCAAGTGATCATTAAGGCATTTGTACCTTTCACTATAATACTGAAATTTGCTTTTGTGATTAACAGAAATAAGAATGAGTGAGTGAATGAGTTTAGTTTTATGCCACACTAAGCAATATTCCAAATTCCAGCTATGTAACGGTGGTCTGAAAATAATCGAGTCTGAACCAGACAATCTAGTGATCAACAGTATGAGCATCGATCTACACAACTGGGATACCATGACATGTGTCAACCAAGCCAGCGAGCCTGACCACCCGATCCCGTCAGTCGCCTCTTATGACAAGCATGGGATACTAAAGATCAATTCTAACCTTGATCTTCCCAAGTCCAATGAAAATAGAAAATAAGTGAGCATGGTTTTATGCCACTTTAAAGCAATATTACAGAAATATCATGACAGAGGGACACCAGAAGTAAGCTTCACACGTTGTACCCATGAGAAGAATCAAACCCAGATCTTCGGTATTACGAGCAAACATGATAACCACTGGGCTACCCTACCACCCCAGCAGAAATTGGAAATAAAAGAAAGCAGCTGTTTTGGGTATCTATTGGAATGAGAACGTAACGAGTCAGTTCTTCAACCACATCAATCAACTTGTAAAGGTGTCATGACTAACAAATTTAAAGGCACAAAAAAGATGATTATTTTCAATTCGATTGCGTATCCTGTCATGCTTACTTGAAGACCAAGGTCAAGAGTATTCTAGCACAACTAAGGGATGCAACTCTGGAGATCAAATTCACCTTAACACAACAGGTGCCATGTAACTGCCATACAACAAGGTCTCACCTCATCTGGGCTCTGGGACTGTGTGCATCAGGGCTGGAGAAGAAGGATGAGTCCGAGTCACGGGCGCTATCACCATCGGATGGCTTCCTTCTTATAATTTCCGAAACAGAATCTCTTCTCTCCGACTCTGGTTGCTCTTGTTCATCCACTGAAGAGCCAGCATCATCGTTCGCTGTTGATTCTCCAAGGTCAAAAGTCACCTTGTCTTTACCATCCTCAGCCATATTGGAGGGCCCTGCTTGGTCCTCTGTCTGTGGACAAAAACAGGTTGTTAAAATATTATTGTACTTGCTGTAGATGACTAGTCTTCCACAAACATGGCATCAGATTACATATAACATGAATGAATGAGTGAGTGAGTGAGTGAGTTCAGTTTTACGCCGGACTCAGCAATATTCCAGCTATATGGCGGTGGTCTGTAAATAATCGAGTCTGGACCAGACAATCCAGTGATCAACAGCATGAGCATCGACCTGCGCAATTGGGAACCGATGACATGTGTTAACAAGCCAGCGAGCCTGACCACCCGATCCTGTTAGTCGCCTCTTACGACAAGTATAGGGTTAATGAAGGTTCATTCTAACCCGGACCTTCACAGGTCTATAACATGAATGAGTGCATATGGTTTTATGCCCTTTTAGCAATATCCCAGCAACATCATGGGTTGGGACTCCAGATATGGGCTCCATTCTTCAACCCACGGGAATCAAGCCATGGCAATGCTTTAAAATAAATACCTGAACACAAAAATGGTAAAAAGATGAGAAATCTAAATCACATCTCAACACCATAGAGGTCTATCCAGTGTTTGTTGTTTCGAGCAGTATTCCAGTGATATCACAGGAAGGTTGACAGAGTCTGATATCATGAGCATAGATCCACACCACTGGGTAAAGAATTACTCCATAAATCATTCACAGGCTGAGATGGCTGAATATGACTGCCGTTGGCCGTAAACATCACTCATTCAGTAAGTGACTTCAGTATGAGACCACTACTCCCAGAGAAAAGAGGGTCACAGTCTGCGTCATGAGCCCACCAGCTGATAGTTACAGAAACAATACAGTGTGAACACAACACAAGTATGCTCGACAGAGTTATCTATCTCAAAGGCTTGCGGTTGAGGTTAGCTTCATATCAGTTCATTTTTCAAGGACATAGGCTGACCAAAACAAATATTGTTCAGTTTAGCAATAATATAGAATAATATACCCATATATTCCATAGTGTTATAGGAACCATTGTACCAGCAGCGGGATTTGTTGGTTGTTTAACACCGCACTCAGCAATATACCAGCAATATGGTGGCAGTCTGTAAATAATTGAGCCTGGACCAGACAATCCAGTGATCGATCTATGCAACTGGGATACAACTACATGTGTCAACCAAGTCAGCAAGCCAGACCACTGCATCCGGTTACTCGCCGCTTATGACAAGCATGGGTTACTGAAGTTTTAACCCAGATTTTCATGGGTACAACAAACATGCCTACAAGTCATTTGGCACTACATGACCCATTCAAAAAAATGTACCGGTATTCATATGTACATCTACAACTTCTTCATTTAGCGTAGTTATGTTTTATACATCCATTATTTTAAGAATAATATTTGAAAAAAGAATTATCACTATGTCATAAATAACATTACATACATACATACATACATACATACATACATGTTTTATACATCCATTATTTTAAGAATAATATTTGAAAAAAGAATTATCACTGTCATAAATAACATGACATACATACATACATACATACATACATACATACATACATACATACATACATACATACATACATACATACATACATACATACATACATACATACATACATACATACATACATACATACATACATACATACATACATACACACACACATACATGTGGCAGTAAAAATATGTATTATGCTGACCAAATGCTCGCACAAAACAGTTCTAATCTGTTATTCCCAATATAAGATATTTAAGTTTTCTACAATGAACATTTCTAGCAGCTTACCAAATTGCGAAAGTTAACATTCGCACATACCGTTTGAACTTTTACCTCGAAAGATTCCAGATGCTATTTTCCGCATGATCGATTCCAAATGTTACACATGGAGGACACATTATTCACAACAGCGAGTAAACAGTCGCTGAAAATAGCGTTTTTGTCAATATTCCAGGATGTCATCTTGCGGAATAGTAACCACGTCATCAGAAACCCCTAAGCAACTGTATATAGCTACTGCAGGTCAAATATCAGTGATTTTTATAGGTTAGCGGACCTTTTTCGTTTGTTGAGAGATCAGTGTCAGCGATCAGGGAAGTGAAAATATAAAAAACGCGTTTTGTAAGTCCAACTGAATCGTAAAAGCAGCCGTTGTCTTATTGGTTAAATCTGTTCAGCTGTCTCACACTTTTGATTGGACGGTCATAGGTCAATTCAACTCACTCAAAGGTTAGCTGACATGACCTTCTACTAGGGTTTGTTGACTACTCAGACTCAGTAGAAATATAGCAGGTGTAACGAATAATACTGAGACTAAGTTTACTTAGACTGTAATAAGATATAACCGCCGTTTGTTTTCGTTAATTTTCATGAAATCTCACTCATAGTTATAGTTAGTATATAGTTATGTACATTTATCAAAGGAACATCATACATTTCATCAGCCTCAAATACAGTCTTATCAAATGATGATACAAGTGCATAAAAATCTGTCACACTCCAGCACAAATAAAAGATTAAAGGGGACTGGTGATTCAAATAACCCATCCGAAAATCTCAATGATACCAGGTGCTTTCTTAATTTCTCACATTGCAAATATTGTCACTTCTGAAAAAGAGTAAGGTTGTATGCTGCTTTTTAGGAATACAACAGCTGGGAACACATGCAATGGGCTAAACACATTATACCTATGTGTTAAATGAAACCTGGGTCTGTGACAAACACTTTAAATCAACTAGGCCCGTTTCACAAAGCGATTGTAGTGCTACGACTGTCATTAGTCTATGTTAAAGTATGGGAGTTATGATCACCTAAGTGCTACAATTGCTTTGTGAACGGGCTCAGGCTACCATACTGCCCTTCTGAAATGAACACATTGGTACTTCAGGATCATAAAGTAAAGGTCTGAATAAAAGTAACAATAAAAATGTCGACCATTTTTTTCATACCTGGCCCTGTTATCAATTTAAAACCATGACAACTGATGAGAAAAACATTGTCTACTGCCCCACTGAAAAGATCAAAGTGATGATTCATGATCGTAGTGTAAGATCTAAATACAGGTAACAATCCAAAAAGACACCCATTCTTATACCAATCCGATCTTTTCCCCATCACACAAAAGTCTTCAAACCAATTTGAAACCCTACAATCAGCGAGGCATACTACCAACCTGTGTCAACCACTGATATACTCTGTACATCAACCAGAAGGCAACAGCACTATCCTGTCTCTCAAACACAGTCGTCCAGCAAGTATGGAACTAGAGCCAGTAACTCAACACCTTCCTGTGATATTGACAAACCTTCTCCCCAACACCAACAAACAACTGACTGAAAAGGCCTGTCTGAATTGAACCTTTTAAACGGATGGCCAATAAACAACATACATTAATATCAGCCATTCAAATTTTCAAATAATTTTGCCACTTTCGATGTGTCATATTTCAACAGAACATAATACATAAATGACATCAGTCTTTGTGTTCCAGAGTTCTAATGGCCAATCAAACCCACCGGTTACTGCACCTTCATGCAGTCTACTATACCCACACAGTAATTAAGTAGCACAAGAACTGACACTAATTGTATATTTCACTGAAATTAAAGTGACACTTTTTACTTTTTAAGGGTCCTTGCGGGCAACACGAGGGTCCTGTGAAGTAATAGCGTACATTTTGATAATTTCTTGAGAGCCTGGAATTAATCACTGATCATGTGGACTGACATACGAAATGATGCACATAACTGCACAGAAAAAAGAAACAAATACTTTACAAAGTCATTGATGGGTTGTGGGTACAGTGAATAATATTGTGTGTCCTTCTGGACGCGGTGAATTTTTTTCCTGTATTTTCATATACATGAGTGAGTGAGTTTAGTTTTACGTTGCACTCAGCAATATTCCAGCTATATGGTGGAGGTCTGTAAATAATTGAGTCTGGACCAGACAATCCATGGATCAACAGCATGAACATCGATCTACGCAATTGGGATACGATGACATGTGTCACCCCAGTCAGCAAGCCTGACCACCAGATCCCGTTAGTCGCCTCTTTTGACAAGCATGGGTTGCTGAAGATCAATTCTAACCTGGATCTTCACAGGGTTTTTCATATACAACTGTCAGTACAAGTGCACACAGCCGAATTTTCTATACAACTGTTAGTACAATTGCACACAGCCGAATTTTTCATATACAACTGTCAGTACAAGTGCACACAGCTGTATTTTCATATACAACTGCAGACCGTAAATAATGGAGGGAGTTATCACCTCAATCACCAATATTCCAGCCACAGAGAGAGAGAGAGTAAGTGGGTGAATGAGTGAGTGAGAAAGTGAGAGAGTATGGTTTACATGGCAGGGGACACCAGAAACGGGCCTTCGGCTCAGCAATGATTTCACCTAACTGTGAATGAGTGCATGGGTTTAGTCATACGCTGCACTCTGCAATATTCCAGCTATATGATGGCGGTCTGTAAACCTGGGATAGAATGACATGTGTCATTTGACATTTGTGTGTTGCAGGGCTGTTTGTATAATCTTGGACCGATAGCGAATGAGTTGATATGTAGCCTCCAGTTGTGACAAGTAGAACAGTGTAATACATACACAATGAACGAATACGTGGACAACGGATTTTTGACATGGAACAAAACTTTGGGGCCTTGATAGGTAATATAAAACTTTAAGCGAGATGTAGTGTCCAAAAAAACTAAAGTGCTCCAATTTTTGTTCATACATAAGAATAATGATGACAATAAGCATGACAACAGCTGTTACATTTAATTGGAACAACATTATTATGGCATGTCAGAAACTTATTCAGTTGCATGGTGCCCATAAACTGTGGCTGTACCACAATAAAGGCATCTGGGTACCTATTGCTATGGAAAACGCCACCTGAGACTATTGTGCCGTCCTGCGTCAACAATGTGTATCTCTAATTGCAGAGTCCCTACTTCTAGCAGAAAATATGCAGCCTACTAAAAAAAAAGGACTGACAACTGCCATTAACCTTTGACGAAATAAATACCAGTGTGTTGTGTTCAAACTATGTGAATATTGTGGTTTTTAATTGCGGAGCCGATAGATATCATTTGAAATGGTCACGCCCACATCTGCCTTTTCGTAAAAAAGTCTATGCAACTATGCTGATTCTGACGAATGCAATATATTCCAAACATGTTTTGGATAAATGTAATTCACAGAGGTTTACGTTCATTAACCTGTCATACTTGTTTGTGACGCGCGTTCATTTCATCAAAGGGACCCAATATAGATTCCGGACAACCGGGCAACCGGCTTGTAATTTGTAAATTTGTCTTTCAAAGCAAAAACGCATTTTTTGAATTTAACTACCTAAGGACGGATAAGCATACAATTAAAAAAATATAATATACAATGAATATGAATTCATGGCGCATTACCTTTCTCAGTCACAACTCTTAAATCTATTAAGTACACGAGAAACATGTGCACCTGAGTTTGTTGTCAAAACGATCTTTCCCTTCCGGTAAATGCGGAGCGGCATGTATAACGACTTATGCCATCTATATATTTGTTATTATTAAAAATTAATGGGTGTGCAACATGTAATGGTGTTAAATATTGTTTTAGCAGACGTGTTACGGTTTTATTATACAAATATATGCATCATGAAGTATACATTAATAAACTGTTTCGTTGTTAAAATATTTCACTCAATATGTAATGTTCTTTGTGGGAAATAGTATCTTCGTCCGATATGGCGTGAGCTTGAAATATTAGTTATTCACATGCGGGGCCTAGCCACGTTTGGGTGGGTTTGCATGGATTGAATGGGGTGTGGGCTAAAAAATAACATCGTATGATGTTTACTGTAGTCTTATGTGTCAAATAATTATACGCACAGTAGCTGATAATGTAGAAGTGAATATTAATCGATGTTAAATATTTCTTAAGTACACGGTAATGCAAATATCCATGCAGTTTGGCCATGTTCACTGATTCGCATTTATCAGTGATTTGTCAATGACACCAACAGAGAATCCCAGATGCTCACACACGATGTTTCTATTTTATAATCCTGTAAGTTTATTTCCTTTGTTTTGAAGTCGCATGTAGTGAAGAGAAAAATGTTTTCAAAATATACCTTCAATTAAAAGGGTTACGTCACATTTACGTCAATTGATTGAAAACAAAATGAACGACTATTTACTATATAGCAGTATAGTGCAGGAGTTTGCAAGATGCTTTTCACGAAACCAAAAGAACTTTTTGATCTTTAAATACGTTAATAATAACAAGTAAAGTAGAGGAAACATAAAAGCAAGAAAACTAACAAGTCATTTAAACAAAGGCTTAGCATGGATTGACATACATGGGTAGGGGGACTGTTTTTCTGGTGACGGTGAGTGATGTACCCGTCAATAAAAGCTGCCTCTAAGATGACCACTGCTACCACGAGTCGAATGTAGTTAAGTTTTGAAAGTAATCAGGAAACTGTTTATGAAAAAGCAAACCATCAAATACGCATGTATACATGTGCAAACATACAACATTGCAATTAAAGCAATAAACATTGACGGCAAAGCACGCGTGTAATTTACGTTATGTCAGATTGTATTACCCACAACTAAAAACTAGAAACTGTTACAATACCAAAAAAGTGTTAATTAGGACATGAAATGAAATAGTTTAGATAGCAAGCATATGTTATGTCTAAGAAAGATACACGTTAGGTGAATACAGACCTAGCTGTAATTTCATTTTAAAGCTTGAATTTTAAAAGAACGTAATCATACGTGGCGGTGATGATACTGTTACGTTGCTGCGAAGCGTTATGGGACTATTGGTTACTTTGAAACAACAGTTCGTTCTATAGTTTAATACAGCATCAACGCAGAAACACAACCGCACAACCCGGAGGATCACTTCAGATAAACAAAATATAATTACGTTTTGTATTTTACGTTTACCTGATAGTTAGATTGGGCCATGACGTTACAGTGAGCGAGTGTAGTTTTACGCCACACTCAGCACTATTCCAGTTATATGTATGGCGGGCATGGTGTTACATGGAAACATGGTAAATGTAATCGGTAAATTGTTATTATTCAATAAACTGAATATTTACTTGTCTAATGTGTCTGTATAGGAATACATTTAACCATCAGGAATATCAAGACTTTATTACCGGGTAATGCGTCGTGAAGCAAATGACAGCTGGTCTTATGATGCGTGTTGGCAAGCCCGCATGTTCTATGATCCAGAACAAACATTACAAGGAATGAGTGACGTCATTACTGATTGTATAACTTTTGTGTCAACAAGATAATACCAGAAAAAGAAATCAGAATTTTCCCAAACAATAAGTGCTGGATTACAAAAGAAATGAAATCTTTATTAAACGAAAAGAAACGAGCGTACATCAAGAAAGATGGAATAAAACTCAAATGCATACAGAAGGACATCAATCTGAAAGCTCGTGGGTGTAAACTAGCGTACAAACAAAGTCGAGAGACAGTTTCAGCAAAGCACTCTGCAACAAGCCTGGCAAGGCGTGAACACGATGATTGGCAAGAGCAGACGACGACAGACAATCAACGCCGGGGACAATAAGACCTTTGCTGAGGACCTCAACACTTTCAACAGCCTTTGATTGTCACGACTTTACCAATGAGAGAGCTCAAGTTAGTGAAGCCGTACAGGATAGTGAAAGTCGTATCCATATACCAGGAGCTGACGTCATTCAACGTTTCTCCAGAATTAACATAAGAAAAGCAAAAGGACCTGACAACCATGAAGGCATTGTGTTGAAGGAGTGCAATTCAACTGTGTACAGTTTTCAATTCTCAGTGGATACACACGTTATTCCTTCGGTCTGGAAAACATCAGAGATTGTACCAGTTCCTAAAAAGACACAACCTAAAGAACTCAACGACCACAGGCCAGTTGCTCTCACATCTATAGCAATGAAGTCGCTGGAACGCATCTTGCTGGGACATCTCCGACAGGAAGTTGCCGACATACTGGACCCGCTTCAGTTCGCCTACATGTCAAGGAGAAGAGTTATTGATGCCACACTGTCACTCCTTAATAATGTCTTTAATAATAATAATAATAATAATATAAATGTCTCGCTTGCATCCCAAGTACACTGTCGTCAGGCTTCCCATTGTTCTCGGTGCCCTTGGTTTGGTACCTCCTGATCTCTTGGCGCAGATCAAGAGAGTGCCCGGGTTCTCCACCGGGAGTACAGCCCTTCTGACACTCTGGGTAATGCAGAAGGCTTCAGTGTTGGGGAGCCTTCATATTCTCCGG